TTGCTGTCAATTTTAAGTGTGATTTGTAGAGTGTCTTGTCTAACTCATCGAGTTCGGTGCGTGTAAGTCTGATTTTTTCCGAGATAAGAGCGAAGCTAGTTCTAGCTAGAATTCGTTTTGCATTGAGAGAAGTTGCAACAGCAGAGGTTAGTGTAAATGCGGTTGGTATTACCTTAGAGTCGCGGCATCGTAATTAATCGCAGTAACAGTTCCATTTCTGATGGTCTGAAATCCGTTTTAGCTAAAGGTCTAAACTTTGCTGTCACACCGAGACACTTACCGGTTAATGATATCATTGCCCATGTCGACGTTGCACTCAAGGGCTTGAGTCACATCTCTGCAGACGTAGCAAGATCTGAAATCGCTGCAACCCTCAAAAACGCTAAGTTGCCACCCAGGAACATCAGCAAAGACGAACGTTTTGAATTATCTCAATTAAAAAATAGGGATGATATTGTCGTCCTCTCAGCCGACAAAGGCAATGCCACTGTCATCATGGACAAAACAGAATATAACAACAAAATTCAAGAACTACTCAACGATGGCAGCTACACAAAAATAAAAAGAGATCCCACCAACAGCCTGGTCACCAAAACGAACAAAATAATCTCTGATTCAACAGCATTAATTGATGAGATCAAACAGTTCTCGTTGAAGCCCTCTGCTGCCAGACCACCAAGATTATATGGCCTTCCAAAGATACACAAAGAAGATACACCCCTTCGTCCCATCGTCTCTACTATCAGCTCCCCCACCTACAAACTGGCACGTTTTCTTGCTGATATACTGCGACCTTTCACTGGAAAAACCACCTCTGCGGTACTAAATTCTACTCACCTGGTATCGACAATCAAAGGCATTTCCCTGTCCCCAAACGACCTGCTTGTCAGTTTTGATGTGGTGTCCTTGTTCACCAAAGTCCCGGTACCTGACACCATCGCTATCATTGAAGACCTGGTTCATCAAGGACTGCATACTGATGTACCCCCCCTGGTGAGACATTGCTTAACCAACACTTACTTCACCTGGAATGGAACTTTCTACAAACAAACTGAGGGCACCCCAATGGGCTCCCCCCTATCTCCGGTTGTAGCCAACTTATTCATGGAAAAATTTGAAACTGACGCCATCCAGACTGCCACTCTACGCCCGACCTTATGGAAGAGGTACGTTGATGACACCTTTGTCATCTGGCCACATGGCCAGCCTGCTCTAGACCAATTCCGCGACCACATCAATTCCATACACCCAGCCATCAGATTTACCATGGAGGTCGAAAAAGATGGCAAACTACCCTTTTTGGATGTCTTAATTAAAAGAAGACATGATGGTTCAATGAGCCACTCTGTCTACAGGAAAGCTACCCATAAAGATTCTTACTTGAAACCGGATTCCCACCACCATCCATCCCAGAAGAACCCCTTCATCAAGACTCTATACCATAGAGCCCAATGCATTTCCGACCAGGAACACATTACCAGTGAACTCAAGCACGTACACCAGGCTCTCAGGGCTAATGGCTACTCCGACTACACAATCCGCAAAGCCATCACTCCAGTCATGAAGAAGGATCCTCTTGTGGAGCCACTCAAAACCATCACCTTACCCTACATTGCAGGGGTCACTAAAAAGATCTCCAAAATCCTGAACAAACACAAGATCCAGGTCCGATTCAACACAGTACATAAAATCCGTGATTTAGTTCCATCTGTAAAAGATGCTGTTCCAGACATACAGTACCCGGGCGTTTACAAACTAAAGTGCCTCTGTGGTAGTAGCTACATTGGAGAAACCAAAAGACATATCTCAGACCGCATGCGCGAACACAAAGCAGACTTGAAACACGGTAGGACGAACTCCTCTGCCGTGGCAGATCACTGTTATAATTCAGTGGGCTCACATGACATTGACTTCTCCAAGACGGAGGTTCTTTGCAAACCAACCGGCTACCATGAGAGATTCGTTCATGAGGCCATTCACATATACAAGCACAGAGACAATTTCAACCGAGAAGATGGATTCAGGCTTAGTAACCACTGGAAAGATGTTTTAAATCATTTCTGTTCTTAATTAATTGTATTTTTACGATGACCTTCAGACCGCAGCTCTTTCGCCAGCATTGCCTCTTAATACCTCTCACACCACGGTTAATGGTATAGTTTTACAATATGGAGCATACTAGGGCCTCGCAGCTGTCTCTCTCCCCCTCCTCTGTTCCGACCATGGACGAACTCGTCCGTCTGAACGGGGCCCGTAGCTATCCGTGGTGCTGAAATTTGAGGGTAAGAATCCACCCATTTTTTCGCCATATAGCATTGTGATATATAACGACTTATTGTTGGTAGCTTAGCTGATTGGAGAATATAGAGTTTATTGATAACATGAAGGTAATTTATATTTTAGTTTTTATTGGTTCACTATATAGTACTGTGAATAGCTCAGATGTGTAGTCATTTCTGTGACCAGTCACTAGCTAATCACTCAGTTGTTTCAATGCTGGATTCGCCTAGTTATTTCAATGCTAAATTCTCCTGTTTGATTTGTACTAAGGGCCTCGGTGAATGTGTATGCTCTGACTTTAACGTAGCTATTTCTGCAGCAGGTACAAGCTCTATTTCTGCAGCAGGTACAAGCTAATCACTCAGCTATCTCAATGCTAAATTCTATGCTAATTCCATTGTCAAGATGTGTATGCCTTAACTTAGCTATTTCAATGCTAAATTCTATGCTAATCCCTTTAACAATGGGTGCCTCTGCGGGTGTGTATGCTTTAACTTTTAACATAGCTATTTCTGTGACCAGTCACAAGCTAATCATTCAGCCATTTCAATGCTAAATTATATGCTAATTCCTTTGTCAAGGTGCTTTGTTCCTCTTACACAGCTTAAAGGCCGTATCTGAACGTGGCTCTTTGACTCCCGCGCTGTCCTACCAGACAGTCTCGCCCCCTTCACCTGATGAAGGCCGCTTGTGTTGTGGCCGAAACGTCGTGAGAATATTATTGTGTTATTTTATTTTATCAATTTATTATTTTATTATCATTCTACGTGACTTTACCAAAGAACCAAAGAATATGAATCCCTGCAGTCACGAAAGCTTTAAATCAAAATCTCACTGCATGTCACGTTCAAGTGGTGAGCGCAATGCATGTCACGTTCAAGTGGTGAGCTCACAACTTGTCACGTTCAAGTGGTGAGTGCACTACATGTCACGTTCAAGTGGTGAGCGTACTGCATGTCAGGTTCAAGTGGTGAGCACACTGCATGTCACGTTCAAGTGGTGAGCACACTGCGTGTCACGTTCAAGTGGTGAGCACACTGCATGTCACGTTCAAGTGGTGAGCGCACTGCATGTCGCGTTCAAGTGGTGAGCACACTACATGTCACGTTCAAATGGTGAGCACACTGCGTGTCACGTTCAAATGGTGAGCACACTGCGTGTCACGTTCAAGTGGTGAGCACACTGCATGTCACGTTCAAGTGGTGAGCTCACTGTGTGTCATGTTTAAGTGGTGAGCGCAATGCATGTCACGTTGAAGTGGTGAGCGCAATGCATGTCAGGTTGAAGTGGAGAACATACTGCGTGTCACGTTCAAGTGGTGAGCGCACCGCATGTCGCGTTCAAGTGGTGAGCTCACTGCATGTCACGTTCAAGTGGTGAGCGCACTGCGTGTCACGTTGAAGTGGTGAGTGCACTGCGTGTCACGTTGAAGTGGTGAGTGCACTGCGTGTCACTTTAAAGTGGTGAGCACACTGTGTGTCACACGTTCAAGTGGTGAGCGTAGCACATGTCACGTTAAAGTGGTGAGCGCACTGCATGTCACGTTGAAGAGGTGAGCACACTGCGTGTCACTTTAAAGTGGTGAGCACACTGTGTGTCAGGTTCAAGTGGTGAGTGCACTGCATGTCACGTTCAAGTGGTGAGTGTACCGCATGTCACGTTCAAGTGGTGAGTGCACTGCATGTCACATTCAAGTGGTGAGCGTACTGCATGTCACGTTCAGGTGGTGAGCATACTGCATGTCAGGTTCAAGCGGTGAACGCACTGCATGTCACGTTCAAGAGGTGAGCGCACTGCATGTCACGTTCAAGTGGTGAGCACACTGTGTGTCATGTTCAAGTGGTGAGCGCAATGCATATCACGTTCAAGTGGTGAGCGGACTGCGTGTTATGTTCAAGTGGTGAGTGCACTACATGTCACGTTCAAGTGGTGAGCGCAATGCATGTCAGGTTGAAGTGGAGAACATACTGCATGTCACGTTCAAGTGGTGAGCTCACTGCGTGTCACGTTCAAGTGATGAGCTCAATGCATGTCACGTTCTCGTGGTGAGCGTACTGGGTCTTATTTTCAAGTGGTGAGCGCACTGCATGTCACATTCAAGTGGTGAGCGGAGTGCATGTCACGTTCAAGTGGTGAGCGTAGCACATGTCACGTTGAAGAGGTGAGCGCACTGCGTGTCACGTTGAAGTGGTGAGTGCACTGCGTGTCACTTTAAAGTGGTGAGCACACTGTGTGTCACACTTTCAAGTGGTGAGCGCACTGCATGTCACGTTCAGGTGGTGAGCGTACTGCATGTCACGTTCAAGTGGTGCGTGCACTGCATGTCACGTTCAAGTGGTGAGCGCACTGCGTGTCACGTTCAAGTGGTGAGTGCACTGCATGTCACGTTCAAGTGGTGAGTGCACTGCATGTCACGTTCAAGTGGTGAGCGGACTGTATGTCACGTTCAAGTGGTGAGCGTACTGTGTGTAATGTTCAAGTGATGAGCGCACTGCATGTTATGTTCAAGTGGTGAGCACAGTGCATGTTACGTTCAAGTGGTGAGAATACTGCGTGTCACGTTCAAGTAGTGACCACACTGCATGTCACGTTCAAGTGGTGAACGTACTGCATGTCACGTTCAAGTGGTGAGCGTACTGCATATGTCAGGTTGAAGTGGTGAGCACACTGCATGTCATGTTCAAGTAGAGCCAAGCAATACGTTGCCATGCATTACAGACCGGTAACCAAGGCCCACAGTTGCTTGTTGTCCACAATCTGGTGGAAGCGTTCCACGGCCGCCACAGTCCAGCACTCTCCGTCTGCACGGATGTCTGCCAGAGAGCACGGCACCGCCTGGATAGCACATCGCCACGTGGGGCATCGCCACACATTCACACACGCAGCCGATTGTCACAACAGACACCGCATCAATGACGGGGGTGGGGGTAGCTGGCAGAGGCAATGCAGATAGTTGAGTATTGGCAAAATGACCTCTCTTCTCACATTTAGAATACCTAGAATTGAAAAAAATATATATTGAAACTATAATTTTACCAGTTAAGGCCCACTGTGCTATATAGCTCTTATTCAGAAGGGACCTGGCTATCACAAATGATAGCTCAACGAAGTGGCTGACTTATCACATGGAAATGTATAGCAGCTCAAATGCTCTAAACGTGTGTCGTTGATTCTAAATGTGGGGGGAAAAACCGAAGGGACTCGGAGAAAAATCCATGCAACCACGGAGAGAGAGACATGCAAACTCCAAATATATACAACAGGCGTCGTCAGGGTCGGGATTGAACTCACAACCTCTTGCATACCGGGCCAGGTAATTAACATCTTCTAACCATTCTGATTTAAAGCTTTCGTGACTGCAAGGATTAATTTTCTTTGGTTCTTTCGGTAAAGTCACGTAGAATGAGAATAAAATAATAGAATAAAATAACACAATAAAATTATCACGACGTTTCGGCCACAACACAAGTGGCCTTCTTCAGGTGAAAGGAACAAACATTGAAGCTCTGTCGTCCCGACAGGTTTGTTCCTTTCACCTGAAGAAGGCCACTTGTGTTGTGGCCGAAACGTCGTGAGAATTTAATTGTGTTATTTTATTTTATTATTTTATTCTCATTCTATATGACTTTACCGAAAGAACCAAAGAAGATCTTCTAACCACCGTGGCACCCTTGACCTTTAGGATCACAATCTTAAAAGAGCCGTGTCATACTGGGGCCCTCATTTTCTTTAGCCACTTGGTCACCCTAGACAATGTGCGGTATTCATCTTCTTGGTTCTTTCGGTGAAGTCACGTAGAAGGGAAATAATAAAATATTAAAAATAAAACATAATAAAATAAAATTCACACGACGTTTCGGCCACAACACAAGTAGCCTTCCTCAGGTGAAGAAACAGAACTGTCGGAAAGACAGCGCTCCATTGGAGCGCTCCATGTGATAAGAAACAGAGCTGTCGGAAAGACAGTGCTCCATTGGAGCGCTGTCTTCTGGACAGACCTGTTTCTTCACCTGAGGAAGGCTACTTGTGTTGTGGCCGAAACGTCATGAGAATTTCATTCAATTCAGTTTAATTTTCATAATAAAGGTTTTTGGGTTAGATCGCGTTTATTTATAAATGTGTCGTAACCCTCCACCACCCGACACGGCCAATCAGCAAAAAAAGTGTCATGTTGACAAAAAGACAAATAGTTCACTACTTTAGCCCACCGGTGTGTTGAAGAGTGAATCCACATTTACAGTTTGAGTACGACGTTTCGCTGGTAAATACATCCAGCATCATCGGGCAATTTGCCAGAATGGTAAAGCCCTCGCTTGCTCCCGGTTTTATATAGAGCAGCAGGGTGACGTCATCACTTAACTCATATCAGGTGCAGTGATTAGAGGCAGAGGGGGGGTATTGTAATTATATAATCGATTAGTAATCAGTCATTGGTTATGATTAGTAATGAGTTGTAGATTAGTAATTCTTTAAATCCGAATGTAATGTGTATTATTTAATAATACGCTTCCAGGCCGCACTAAGCCTGTAGCTGTCAGAGCGATTAAAGTTATTCTTGTTCCTCTCAATTTCAATGGATTCTCTAATTAGTCTTTGCCAGTAATAATTAGTTTTACACACCACTGCAACATTGTCAAAATCAATTGAGTGTCCTTGTTGACAAGCATGTTCTGCCACTGCCGACAGTTGTGTTTGAGATAATTTAATATTTCTCTGATGTTCTTTTAGTCTTACGCTGATGTTACGTCCCGTCTGTCCAATGTAGCAGCTGCCACATAAACAATTAATCCGATATACACCTTCTGTTGATAATTTAGGTAATGCGTCTTTAGTGCAAGATACTAGTTTTTGAATTTTGTGTACTGTACCAAATCTTACAGTAATGTTTTGCTTTTGCAAAACACGGGCTAATTTGTCAGTTACTCCTGAGATATATGGAATTTTTATTGTTTTAACAATCTGGTCGCTTTCAGCACTATTGCTTTGCGATCGTGATTTGGCATTCAGTGCTCTGTTAATTTGAGCATTATTGTAGCCATTCTGTCGTAGTGCATCTTTAACGTGTTTAATCTCTCTCACTAGACTCTCACCATCTGACACTGAAAGCGATCAGATTGTAAAGTCACCGCATTCGTGAACATAAAGCAGACCTTAAACACGGTAGGACCAACACCTCGGCCGTAGCAGATCATTGTTCTAATTCAGTAGGCTCACATGCCATTGACTTTTCCAAGACGGAGGTTCTTTGTAAGCCATCTGGCTTCCATGAGAGATTCGTTCATGAGGCTATCCACATATACAAGCACAGAGACAATTTCAACCGAGAAGATGGATTCTATCTTAGCAATCATTGGAAAGATTTGATAAATCATTTCAGTTCTTCATTGATTGTTCACGCTTACAGTGGCTTTCAGACAGCATACATTATAAAAAATTTCGTCTCCCTCCTCCTCTTTTCAAAAAATAGATGGACTAGTCCTGGGCAAACTGCCAATCGCTGCGCGTGACGCCAACGTTTTTTTATAAATAAATAAATGTGCCGTTTAAAAATAAATTTATGCAAACCGACACACCTGATGATGACCGTTTGAGTTATGGTCGAAACGTCGTGAGAATTTTTTATTGTTTTATATATATTTTGTTATTTTGTTGTTTCTCTTCAACGTGACTTTACCGAAAAAACTAAGAATATATAATACACATTACATTTTGATTTAAAGAATTACTAATCTACAACTCATTACTAATCATAACCAATGACTGATTACTAATCGATTATAAAATTACAATACCCCCCCCCCTCCGCCTCTAATCACTGCACCTGATATGAGTTAAGTGATGACGTCACCCTGCTGCTCTATATAAAACCGGGAGCAAGCGAGGGCTTTACCATTCTGGCAAATTGCCCGATGATGCTGGATGTATTTACCAGCGAAACGTCGTACTCAAACTGTAAATGTGGATTCACTCTTCAACACACCGGTGGGCTAAAGTAGCGAACTATTTGTCTTTTTGTCAACGTGACACTTTTTTTGCTGATTGGCCGTGTCGGGTGGTGGAGGGTTACGACACATTTATAAATAAACGCGATCTAACCCAAAAAGCTTTATTATGAATAATATTGGTCGCGAAAGCCTACGTGTTAAACTCAGTTTAATTTTTATTATTTTATTATTTCCCTTCTACATGACTTTACCGAAAGAACCAAGAAGATGAATCCCTGCAGTCACAAAAGCTTTAAATCGAAAAATGTGCGGTATGTTTCAGGAAAGTTACGCAATACAAGGGTGAGCGCATTCTTCAATGCTGCTCGAGACACTGCAGGAGAGCCATGCAGAGATCCTGACCCTTTAAATGTTAATTCTTGCCTCACGGGCATCGATTGTTGAAAACCTAAACACTCTCGGAATACCGCCGTATGTGATATTTCTCCAAATAAACAGTGGAGTCAATTTAACGAGTAGGCTTTCGCGACCAATGTCATTCATAAGAGGTTAACCCGCCACCACCCGACAGCCTATTAGTAAGGTTTGTGACGTAAACAAAACGTGCCAAATATTTACAAGTTCACACCGGTGTGTTGGAGAGTAAATCCACATTTATAATTTGACTACCGTGATGTTTCGCCGGTAATTTCATTCAGCTATTATCATCGGATTTTTGGTACAGTCCTCTGTACCATGAGCCATGTGTAGTGAGTTATATCTTGGGTAAATGCAAGTTATTTAATTACCAGCTCTGGCAGTTGTAGAAATGAGTTGCCCAGTTTGCGTATGCAGGACACCGAGGTGCGCTCCGTGTTCCCGTAGTCAACGTATCTCACCTCCACGTCTCCCTTGTCTTGTAAACCTACGGGGGAAGGGGTACGCACAGCAGCACCACAAAGGCGATCACAAACAACTTTGCAGTCACGAGCCAGCCATGTCTATCTACGTCAGTGGTTTTTAACCTGGGGATGCGAGATGCCCTTTCTGAGGATGCGAGACATGGCCAGATTTTTTGAGAAGGTAAATCATCGAAAACACAAATTAAGCATGGCCACACAAGTATAACTACTGTTTCATCAAACTCTATGTGTTTATTAACATTATATATTATTTTACGATTGAGAACCAAAGGGGTGCAGGCTGCAGTAAAGGTTAAGGAACCACTGCTCTGGCAGTACGACGCACAATGTGAGATCTCATCAAGTAAAGAATAAGAAAATAAATAACTATGTTAGACTACTTTTTGTGTTAAATAATTAGATAAATACAATTTTTGACAGTTAATATACAGCCCCCTTTTATATTTCCACTGCTGGATGAAAGCCTCCCCAATTCTTTGTCAATCACTGGGGTTGTTTGACCAATAGCCTACCACGCTGGTCAGGGCTCGCTTTTAAAGTGTGGGTTTGGGACCAGTTCAGGCCCTGGTGTTACAACCATCTCCAGAAAATGTACTTAGATCATTTAGTTAATAAAGAAGCTTTACGCACGTTCTAAATTACCGCATTCTCTCGAACGCAAAGAGGGTTTTCTTTAATGTTATTTTAAAGAAATAGTTGAGGGCGTGTCCGGTAATCTGCTACAGTTACTGAACTCGGAACCTCGACGTGCCGAGTACAAACTGTGCTCAGCCTACAGTCTCTGTCGCCAAATGGATTTCCACAAAAACACATCCATTATAACATATGGATTACTACCACAGCTTGTTCACCCAGGAATGCCTCAGCGAGTATCAAGATATTTTCCAGGTTGGTACTAGCCAAGATCTTGCAGTATAAATAATCCCAACTGATCAATGTTCGCAGGTATTTTTTTGATTGTGAAATGTTTTGCCTATACGATTCACCGTGCGTGTTTTTTTCAGCTATGGAAAGAAACGAGGGAATCTGAGGAAAGCCCCGTCCATAACAAGGGGGAAAACATACAAATTTCACATCGAGAGGCACCCTAGTCGGGAACGGAACCCAGGTCCCTCCTAGCTGTGAGGCACGAGTGAGTGATAGCGCTGCACCACCCTGCCACCCAACATCCATCAGTGTACCTGTGATGGTGGCGATATTAAAATTCTCAAAGTGGGGAGAGGCTGTTGAATTTCCACAAACACACGGAAACAATTTATCAACCCCAGAGCACCGATGGGCCAAACAGCCGCTCACATTGGCACTTGGAGCGCTCTCCCGACAGAATCGCTAAGCCAGTTTTTCTTACAGGAATTTAAGAGACCCGATTTATTTTGCAGTTGAGTTATTGTCTTCAAAATATTATTTAAAACACGCTAATATCGCACGCTTGTCAGCATATTTGCATGAGAAGCATATTGGGGAGGAGAGGTCAATGCACGGATCTCCGGGTAGTAAACCCAGCAGAACTGCGACCCGTGCCTTGGCCACGTCTGTGAGTGGCGAGTGATGTATCCAGTCTGGACCCACTGCACCATTCCCTAGAATGGTGAAGTATGGACGAACAAACCCCTTGGCCTAACATGGCGCAACAAGGCTCTGATACACTAACGGATTGGCAAAAACATTTAAAATATTATATAGTAGCTTACGGAACACAGCAACATCAAAGTTTAGATGAAAGATATTAGGATACAAGGTAGCAAGATGTTAACTTCCTCGCCTTGTATACAGGAAGTCGTGGGTTCGATCCCGACCATAACGCCTGCTGTATATTTGGAGTTGGCATGTTCTCCCCGTGGTTGGGTGGATTTTTCTCCGCATCCTCAAGTTTTCCCCTCCACATTTAGAATTAACATCATGCATTTAACAGTATTTGGCTGCTCTACATTTCCACACGATGAGATATAATTTATGATAGCCAGGTTGCTTCTGAAAAAGAGCTATATAGCTCAGCTTTATACGTTTTATAGCTTATACCCTAACACGCTTAATAGTAACCCCATGTACCAAGCCAATCCATCGCATTAGCGACGACCGGTTCCGCACATACCGATGACCTGGGCACGGTACCACTGCTGGTCTGCGCTGAATTGGGCAACACAAAGCTGCCCCACAGTGGGATGCACGACCCTCCAGTCCTTGCGGTAGTCCCGGTAGAAGAGCTGCAAAGTGCACTTCAGCTTCAGCAAGCACTTCATCATGCTCACCTGGAAACCACAAACGGCAAAGTCTTGTGTTTTACGATGCAAAGAAAGTTAAAGCCATTACAGGGCGCTAGTGAAAAACCCACAACCCTTTTACCAACTACAGCTGATCATCGATTATCCCCAGCACAATTATCCGGCTTCCAACATTATCCTGCGGTCCCGGGCCAATCCGGCGAGACCGGCAAAACCACTCCAATGGCTGTAACCAGTCCGGCAATCGGCACCGTGTGCATGACAAAAAAGTAGCTATGCATGATTTCAGTGTTAAATATTTATACAGTATATTATACACTACATACAACTTAAATAATGAATATACTGCACGTATATACAATATACTGCATGTAAATACACTTTTCATGACTAATAACTACAGCAATAAAAACAATACATGGTGCAATCTAGCAAAAAGTGCGTTGTGAAATTCGGCAATCGCCGGAGCACCGGTATTAAGGCTGCAACAATCCGGCGATCGTCACACACAAGTTGTGGAAACAAGAGCGTAGTAGTACTACTATGTACATCGTCACAACATGCTGAGTCTTCGAAATTGTTGTAGTATGGTACAGTAAATACAATAACCTTTTTAACAGTGGGACACTTATTTTTGTATATTTGCATGTTTATTTATGCAAATTTCACTAAGTTAACAAATGTAATGATCGACTTCATAGTCACTGACAAGACATCTTACGGACACAAAACTTACCTGCAATAACAAAAACTTACGACCACTTACCCACCTAAACTTTCACAATTTGTTACAATGTTGCAACTATTGTGCCGATTAACCTACACCACCGGGAAGTACCTGGCGTTGCCCGGGGTAAAAATATATTTCAAAAATTATCTTAAAAACATAACAAATACATACACGAATACTAAGCTTTAGTGAAAGCCCGGTGTGCCATTTGTCTGTCCATTTGTCCATCAACAAAATTATAAGAGGCTTGCAGAAGTCCAAAAAGTTATAAAAAGTGGGGGGTAAATCGTTGATCTAAAAGGTTTGCAAAAATTGTCGACCCCCCCCATAAAAAATATTTTTACCCCGACATACAATATAGTGAGTAGTGTTGTATACATAAATTCACGAAGTTAGAAATAAAATAAAACAAATCACGACGTTTTGCATGTGTTGCGGTCGAAACGTCGTAATTTGCTTAATTTTATTTCTAACTACGTAACTTTACCGAAAGAACCAAAGAGTATGGATTCCTGCAGTCACGAAAGCTTCAAATCAAGAATGTCTTAGACTGTGTTCGTGAACACAAGGCGGATCTGAAACACGGTAGGACCAATACCTCGGCCGTGGCTGATCATTGTTTTAATGCTGTAGGCACACATTAAATTGATTTCTCCAAGACGAAGGTACTCTGCAAACCCACTGGCTATAAACAAAGATTTGTTCATGAAGCCATCCAGATATATAAACACACAATTTCAACCGAGAAGATGGGTACAAACTGAGCAATCAATGGATAGACATTATTATACAGGTAAAGTCATGACTGGCTGTGATGCTTCCATCCTACCTGCCGATGTTAGCAGTTATTTCCGATTCTCTTGAGTTACATTACCTTGTTAAATGTCTTTACATTAACAGGCTAAATGTCTCACTAACATAGCCGTTGCTCCCTTTTCCTCGATGTGGCGGTGGCTCTCGTTGTTTAATAGGCTGAATGTCTCACTGGCATGGCCACCGTTGCGGTGGTTCTCTTGCGTTGACATGCTGGTCTCTCCCAGCGCAGCGGCCAACACTGCAGGTTTTGTTGCCCACGAGGTGGCGTTGTGCCCGGTTCTCTGACACTGACAAGCCAATCTTCTCATTGACATGCGAATCTCTAATCTCTAGCAATACAATGGCCGCCTCTTCAGCACCATAGTCGTGAGGGATATCAGGCTCTCCGACCTTACATTTACATGCAAATTAAAGATTGACATGCTAATCTCTAGCAATACAATGGCTGCCTCTTCAGCACCGTAGCCATGGGGTTACATTAACTGATTGACATGCTAATCTCTAGCAATACAATGGCCGCCTCTTGAGCACCGTAGTCGTGAAGGATATCAGGCTCTCCGACCTTACATTTACATGCAAATTCCATCTCTAGCCCCACCCACTTACCCTTGGGTTTGCACCCATATTAAGCCTGTATAAGCGCTTGCTGCGGCACCTCTCTTGCTATATTTCTCCTGCCTCAGCAGTTTTCTTACTGTATTTTTTCACCTGAAGACGATTGCTCGTGTTGTGATCGAAACGTCATGATTTTTTAATTATTTTTCTATCTACGTGACTTTACCTGCAGTCACGAAAGCTTTAAGTCAAGATTTAGTATCTTGTACTAAAGACAAATTACCTAAATTATCAACAGAAGGTGTATATCAGATTAATTGCTTATGTGGCAGATGTTATATTGGACAGACGGGACGTAACATCAGCGTAAGACTAAAAGAACAGCAAATAAATATTAAATTATTTTTAACTGTCGGCAGTGGCAGAACATGCTTGCCAACAAGGCCACTCAATTGATTTAGATAACGTTGAAGTGTTGTGTAAAACGAATTATTACTGGCCAAGACTAATGAGAGAATCCATTGAAATTGAGAGAAATACAGGCAGTCCCCGACTTACGATGGTCCGACTTACGATATTTCGATCTTACGATGGCGATTGCGATATGACAAAATTGTAAAATATTTTTTTATTTCGAGCGGCAGGCAAACGCAGCAGCGTACGAGGTACGATACTGTGCTTTATCATCGCCATCCTCCTCTTCCGACAACTAAGTTAATGTAGCCATCAACAACATAACATCGTTCAAGTATGCAGACAACGGACAGAATGTTGGTGAGTACAGTAAAATGTGATACGTTACGATACGTTCAATGCATGTATGATACATAGCTTTAGCGATTTCATTTTAGGGTTACTACGATACAATACATACGTTCAATGCATGTTAAAAGTTTTTTATAGCAGATAGGATTGTAACTTTCTATGAAATTGCAGTTCATATAGGTAGGCTAAGAATTTACCTTGTTTTTTACTTTAAATGTGACTGTGCAATACAGTATTGTAATTAATAAATACATACAGTATATAGTTATACAGTATGGTACTGTAAATTGCTCTGTTTTGCTAAATTATCACCATTCTTTAAGACTCCTGGGTAGGCTAGGCCATTTTCAACTTACGATATTTTCGACTTACGATGGGGTCGTCGTAACGCATCTCCATCGCAAGTCGGGGACTACCTGTCCAAATAACTTTAAGAGCTCTGACAGCTACAGGCTTAGTGCGGCCTGGAAGTGTATCATTAAATCGTACCTATAAACGTCATTATTTGTCATTTATAGGTCTGTCTGTGTACACATAACTTGCGAAGGATTTGGCCTAGTGGACCATGGGGTTTACATTTAAAAAAAGTAGCCGGGTACCACGCCGTAAACCCCCTGGTGAGCCAGCGCTATTCCGTTTTCTCATCCGTAAACTTAAAAGTAGTTTAATTAACAATTGAGTGATATTAAACATTAATTATTTCCTCCAGCCGCTACAGCTGCCCTGGCAACGCACGCGCGTCATCAGTGGCGGGTGGAGGGGATTTCTCCTTGGCGACGCCGAGGTAAATTCATCAAAGTGTCATGTCCTCTTCTCTCCCCTCCCCCACCCCAATGTGTGCACTTACTACTATAGGGTCGGTAGATACTAATATTATAGCACTTAGATAGTAATCTTGTAGCGCGGGCGGGGGAATGGTGGCGGCCCAGCCCTCAGACTCGGCCGGCTGGGCAATCTAGGCGAGGCCGGGGGCTCTACACGGGACTAGGCCTCACTACGCCACTCTGTCAAGCGAGAACTTTGTGCTATCACTGCAGTGATAGCAGGTACCACCACAGTCAGTATGCACTGCTGCAGTGATAGCAGGTTCCACCATAGTCGGTATGCACAGCTGTAGTGAAAGCAGGTACTACCATAGTTGGTATGCATTGCTGTGGTGATAGCAGGTACCACCACAGTCGGTATGCACTGCTGTAGTGATAGCAGGTACTACCATAGTTGGTATGCATTGCTGTGGTGATAGCAGGTACCACCACAGTCGGTATGCACTGCTGTAGTGATAGTAGATACTGCTATCGATTTGGTAGATACTGCTATATAGAGTTAGAAGATACTAAAACAGTCAGTATATACCACTATGGTCAGTAAATACTGCTAAAGTCAGTAGATACTACTATACAGTCAGTAGATACTACTACGGTCAGTAGCTATTGCTAGAGTCTACCCTACATTGCGGGGGTCACAAAAAATATCTCCAAAATACTGAATAAACACAAGATCCAGGTCCGATTCAACACAGTACATAAAATCTGTGATCTGGTTCCGTCTGTAAAAGATGTGGTTCCAGACATACAGTACTTGGGCGTTTACAAACTAAGTTGCCTCTGTGGTAGCAGCTACATTGGAGAAACCGAACGACATATCTCGGACCGCATCTGTGAACATAAAGCGGATTTGAAACACGGTAGGATGAACTCCTCAGCCGTGGCAGATCACTGTTATAATTCAGTGGGCTCACATGACATTGACTTCTCCAAGACGGAGGTTCTCTGCAAGCCATCCGGCTACCATGAGAGATTCGTTAATGAGGCCATCCACATATACAAACACAGAGACAATTTCAACCGAGAAGATGGATTCTGGCTTAGTAACCATTGGAAAGATGTTATAAACCACTTCGGTTCTTAATTGTTTGTATTTTACGGTGACCTTCAGACCGCAGTCCATTCGCTGGCACTGCCCCTTAATACCTCTCACACCACGGTTAATGGTATGGTTTATAGCATGTGGTATAATAAATAGTATAACATTGTAATGTTTAACATAATTCATAAGGCAATATATAGTATCGTAATTGCATAGCGAATATACAGCAGTGTGGTATATAGTTGGGTTCATAGAATAAGACAGTGTAATAGTCTAAAGTATAGGGTAGTGTAAA